TTCTGGGATTACTTCTTTCATCTCCTGCTTTAAGAAAATTTATGTCAACTTGAGGTCCTCTATTCCCCATCCCCCTCCTTTTGTTGACAATGCCTTAGTTTGTGCTTGGACTCAACCTTCTCCTCAACAATCTTCAAACTCCATCTCTGCCACTTTACTTAAATTGGAATTTTCAGAGAGTCTGCACCACCCTCCTCATGGCCCTCCAATTACCCCTGCAACCACAAAGCAGTCAACACTACAAGGCACCCTTTCTGCTTCAGCCCCAGCTTTCACCCCTCAAAGACTCGTCACTACACCAGGCCAAACTCTTGATATGGCCTGTGCAAAACCTCTTCATTTCCAGGGATGTTCTAATTCAGACAATGATTTGGACAGCCCTCCTTGGGGCAAAAACCTAGGTTACATCTCCGGGCCTGAAATTAATCCTTTGGACAACCAGAAAAAACTTCCCTCAAATGTTTCTGAAGATGAATGGGTAACGGACAGAGGCTCAGATGATGATGAAGACTGGCACGCCTATAAAGAGGTCAACAAGAAAAAAAAACCTTAAGAAATTTGACCAATTATGTTTGCAATTCAAGGATAGTCCCCATCCAAGAAGAAGTAAGAGGTTAACAGAACTTAAAGCCAAGCGTGTTTGGGAACAAATTTGATTGGTGAGAATGCTGTCAAGATTTTCTCCTCATGATGTTCACCCTCTTCCTTAATCCAGTGCTGCAGGTCGTTATCAGGTTATAAATTATCATAATCTAATTCTGGTCTGAGAATGGCAGTGTGTTTACACTAACTTTGGATGACATTTTAAATGTATAAACCTTATGACTTTACCTTTGGCAAGCTTTCAATGTTTTTGCTTAGAATTGAAAGTGAACAATTTGGCTCTAGATGGTTTTGGCGCTGTTACTTGTGAAAATACAACTATGTGAAGGGAACCGTTTCTGGTGTTTGCTTCATCTATCAACATTACGGATGAGCAGAATTTCTGTCATCTTTTCTGGAGCTGATTCATGCGTTTAGCTAGAATTGCTGGACAGAACTTAGTGACTCCCATCCTGGTCATTTGGGCAGACTGCATTCTGCTCTCCTCATGTGATTTTTATTGTTTGGCTTGATGCTGCTTGTTTTATACTCTGTATTAGTTTGGATAGTTTCTCTCTTGGGTGTAGTATTCACTCTTTTTTGGGACAGCTTGTAGGGATCCGTCCCATCCCCCTTTGTACTTTTTCCTTTTCTAATAAATATCCTTCCCCTAAAAAATATATATATATATGTATGTATGTATATATATATATATATATATAAAATCTAGGTTTACTAAATTATTACAAATATATAATTCTTCTCACCCCTTAATTCAAAAAATATACGACAAAAACATTGGTGATTTTATTATTTTTCTCCCCCGCATTTATTTAACAAACTTAGATTTCCAATCATGTAATTTTAATATTCAAAAATCATGATTCTTTTCCGCCAGATTAATTTACATTAACGGAAATATATGATTTTAATTTCTATGACGCATTATTGTGATTCTTCCTCTCCTTGGCCCTTTGTAGTGATTAAAAATTGACTCCTTTTTTTGTATTATTAAAAGTATGAAAACACAAATTAACAATCATATGATAAGAAATATAAATTTTACAAGAAATTAAAAATATAACGATTATTCTCCCTCGTATTATTTCAAAAATTATGTGAACGAAAAAAACATTAGCGATTCTATGATTTTAATAAAAATTTTACAAAAACTATTTCACAATTTTTACTCATTTTTTTGCTTTCTTTTTAAATATAAAATCATTAAAGTATGTGAAAGTATTTTGGTCAATACATAATGTTTTACAAAATACAAAGAGTTACAATTTAAAAATTATATTTCTCTTTGATAATGTAGCTGAGCCTAAATCTTATTCACTTCTGCACATTAGAACTTCTTTGTACTTCTCCTTAAATTATTGATTATCCTTGTATCTAAATTTTAATTGTCACAGATCTTCACGCGTTTCTCGGCCTCCAGATCTTAATTTTTCTTATAGAAATATTTTTTTTGTGAAAGTCCATGTTATATCGCTTCATCTCTAAGACTATCATTTTGTTAAATTTCTTTGTATGATTGCGAAAATGAAGCAAAGAAAATCGAGTCATACTTCATCCGTCTCTTTTATTTTCATGCATCAATATAGTGAACTATCACCCAATTACATCATAAAAATGGTAAGTTACAGTGTAAACTTTCTTTGATTAAAATAATAGGTCAAATTAGCAAGATAAAGTACAAAAGTCAAATTACATATTCTTGCTAAGTAATTTGGTTTAAACACTTGATCATTTAAAAAAATAATCGATTCATATCTTTATATATATATTTATATATATATATATATATATCTATATATATATATATATATATATATATATATTTTGGTTCAAATAAGAATAGGATCTAATGAAAGAAATAAGAATTTGTCACAACCGTTGGATCTACTACTCAATTACTATGCCTTCCAGGACGTGAGATGGGCACATCGGTAAATTTAGTATTAAAGCGTAGATATCGCAATCTCAATCCATTCACCGATCCGATAAACCTGCACAAGATGGCCTTTCTCCTCGCTTGCCCTTTTCCTTCAATAACTTGTTCAATCAAAATTGGCTTCTAATCTGATCATTTTTCTTATAGGGTTTATATATAAAAACAACATGTAAGTCTTTTTCTCTGTACAAGAATTCTTTCTCTGTTTTTCATGAGAAACCATATCTGATTGAAGTTAGACAGGTTTGATTTTTCAATTCATTTCTTTTTCTGTTCAATTTAATCGTGTATGTTCAATCTTTGATATTCACTTATTTGTTTTGACATAAATTGGGTTAATTCCCACATTCATTTGTTCATCCCTTCAATCTCTGTTGTTCGATTATTATTTATTTTGCCTTGCCTTAACTTAGTTGTTCGGTGCAAGGAAAAAGTAAACAACACTGTCTAAAACTAGAGAAAAAGACTAATAAATCAGAAAGCATGAGGAGACCAACAAATTACATATGTATGTAAAGATGTTTCTTGGTTCAATCGTGCATAATTTCAAAAATTTGTGGTTCTTTTCAAATATAGTATTTGTGCATCGTGTAGTTGTAATAGTACATGAAATTCAATTTAGAGTGCATTATCTACAATGTTAGAACGATTTTAGAACTAATTAGAACAGCACACTTTAGATACCTATTGTTATTTACTTGGGTATAATTTTGTGGTGTAATATTTCATTTTTCTTATTTTTTTGAAATATAATTGTACTCACTAATTTAGAGTTGTAATCTATAACTCTCATTTCTTTTCAAATATATTTTTTTCTGAAAAAAAAAATTCAGAAAAGCATTTGTTACTCTGCATTCTGCTTATGTTTGATTTTGCACTATCAGGGATTTTGCACTGATTCTGCTTATTTTTTATTTTGCCATGATGTTATTTATGTTTTATTTTCCCATGATTTTTCTTATATATGTTTATTGATATGCAACATGACAGATTTGAAATTTGAAAGTGGTTGTTTTGAAATGCAATATGAGTTCTTTTAAGTATCGTTACATGAGGTAAAAAAAGATGTTACAATTGTATAAGATGAGGATTCTTACAAACAAGAAGACAATGCATTATTAATTTATGTGCAACAACTCCATTTAACTAGTGTTGTGGAACTGCCAGTTTTATTAATCTTTATGATGCCACTGCCAATTTTTTCTAGTCATTACGAACCCCATAATTGATGGCATGATGTAGATGCTTTTTTACTTCTTGTTCATAGTACAAGTTACACACACTTAAATATCATGTAAATACATCAAATTTTTCACACATGATAGCTTAAAAGGTAAGAATTTGAGATTTGATATAGATTGCAGTAAAGAATGTGCATGATGCATTGTAAGAGAATTGTATTGAAACAAATGATGGATAGTGATGGTGATCTTAAACACAGTAGTTATGCATCCATGACTTTATCTGGTGCATTTTGACTAAGGTATATAGAGTAAAAATTTAGATCTTTAAGCTAATTTCAAGACATTGTAATTACATAATGTTATTTATTGAGTGTGCTATTGGTTATAGCCAGTAATGAATACATTGAATAAGTGAATTTTATGGATGTGTATAAATGTGTGGTAAACTTTCAACCGAAGCTTGATTTAATTGCAAATTTTCATTTGCTAAAAAGAAATGGCATGACTTTTAATTCTAGTTAAAATTTGTTAAAGTTTAATGAACAAAGTATACATAGTTTATGTTATTGTGCATTATTAAAGTCAACATGATGCATTTACATGAGAAGACATGCATTGTAAAAATGTTAAAGGATAAAAAGCATTTGTTACTCTGCATTCTCAAAATCAAGGTGAAAGTTTTTGAAATTGATGATGCATTTAAAATGTTATGTGTTTTAAAACTCTACGATACACTTTTGGTTGCTTTTTTATAAGTAATATGTGATAGTCTACATCACGTCTCTCTGCAGTGTTCTTCAATAATTTTATGATACATTTGTATTATGTAACAAGTATAGATTTATAAGTGTTTATAGCTGAGGGGCTGTGGATGAAGCTGAGGCACATCCATATGAGCAAGAAGCTCATCCATACGTATTTGTAAGTAAATACGAAGATGATGCAATTATACAAGGTGAAGATGCGTAAAGCCGTGAATCCGATGCAATATTAACTTATAGGGCCTTGAAACATATTGTTATCATAATTTAGCCAAGTGAGTGAAGTGTTGAGTGCATCTCAAGTAGTTTTGTGATGGTTTATTTTTTTTGTGAGTTATGAGAGTCGGTGGATAATTGATTTTGTTATTGTGTTGGAGACTTTTTTGTTGATATGGTTGAATCTAAGCAGTATATTACTTTTTGGAAATTACATATTTTTGTTATTCAATACTCCCTCCGTCCTAAAATGTTTTCCCGTTTCTGTTTATGAGGTTTGACTAACTTTATTTTAAAATCAATTTATTTGATTGTAGGTGTAAAATTAAAAAATAAAATTTATCAAAATTTCTCTAAAACAAGAAGTGACAATACTATATTATTTTATCAAAAAAAAGTAATTAAAGTTTTACCGTGTAATTAATAATTCGGATGAACATTTTAGGACGCAGAAAGTATAAGTAATATATAATTTTTAGAACATAATTTTTTACCTTGCTAATGAGTTTGGTATAATTTTCATATATTTTTATTGAATTTTATTAGTTGTTATCTAAGCTCTCTTAGTGATTCTCAAAACAAAATTTTGAGAATGGTATGGTTTTTTTAATGGAAAAGGATTTTTATTAATGAAAATAGAAAAGATACAAAAATGAGGGACTATCCAAAAGTGATAGTTGAAACAAGAAAAAGGAGAGAACTAAAATAGGGACGTAGCCCCAAAGAACAAAAAAGGAGAATGGTATGGCATTACTTATGCAATGCATTAGTGCATCTGACATGGGCATATATGCAGCACGTGTGGATTAAACAATAATCTATAGTGCATTCAGCATTTTGGTGATCTGAAGGAGCAGAGGTTTAAACCTAAAATATCTCATTCTCGTGTGTAGATTGTAGATTAAGTTGTAAGAAATAGTTGCATTGAATGATGTTGTAACATGTGGTGAATAATTTAAACATAAAAGTGATGCATCGAGACACTATTTATGATCCATTGTGATGAGCAAGTTAAACTTTTAGGATTATATGTGATTTTAGTCGTGAATTTGCATAACAAACTGATCTCTTAGACTACCAAACTCTTTTGTTCCAAGAGGCGTGTAGACAAAATTAGTGCGTAGTAAAACAATCATTTTAAACATAATTTATTTTAAAACTCTTTTCTGTGTGAATCAATGATCAAACTAAATTCTTCATGTATTTCTAAAATAAATGCACAAGCTCTATTTACAAAAACATCGATAAGAGAAAAATATGCAATCAACCAAACTAATTACATTTCTAAATATTATAAGATACTTATGACTACAAACACATCATATAAGATTTAAAATTGTCACAATGGCTTTGTCACAGTGGCGGAGCCAGGACCCAACGCCAGTGAGTGCAAGGTAGGTCCATCCCTCTAGTAGCGGCAAGAGACATAAAAATACAACTTGGTCTCATTGGTATTTTGTCAGACACATAGGGTGCAAGAAAGTTTGACAAATGTTGAATATCGTTTGCATCATTATTTTCGAGAATTGCAGGTCAATTTTCTTTTTGTTCAAACA